ATCAGTAATAAATCAAATAGACCCACGGTTCTTATCGGTATTATGGGTCAGGTCAAGACCCGCAGTTCTTACAGTTCTGACCTGACATATTACAACACTAATTCCGGGTACGCAATTTTCTCGTAAAGTCTCACTCACATAAAAGAAGTTGTTTAAAGATAAGAGTATAGAGATGAATAATAAAATAATAATCAAATGATTCGCGGATGATAAGAAAATTTTCTGTTTTTCTTCCTCTAATATTCTTTATCGCGAAAAAACGAATAGACAAATTTTATATACAGTATATAGCGCCCCAAACCAAGAAAAAAAGCGAAATTAATTGTTTTGTTGATGGTTACGCGACTATAGTGAAGTAAAATAATTTCATATAACCTGTTATGGGGAAACAAGAATTCCACGTTCGTTATTCATTTACTAATCAATTTCTCTCGGGTTTATAAACTACAAACTTCTCCGAACGATAAACAGAAGGCTATCACCGTACACCTTTATTCCAAAATTGGATATCGATATGTATGTCTGACAAGTTTGAATTTTTGCTCCAAAATTGAATATCATTTCCAGTAATCTATATTTTTGTTCCAGAATTGGATATCGGTATGTATGTTTGACAAAAAATTTTAAAATTCTTTATATACTGTATATAAGTAAGCAACGAGGAAATATTTTTTTATATTTATCTTTTAAAGAAAAAAAGAGAAATATGAAAGAAACTTTGCCAGACTCAGGTATTCGATTATGAAATAATATAGTCCGTGCAATTATAGAATATGTAATAAAATTTGGATACCGCAAGAGCTTAGAGAATTGCTAATTAATGTATACGTACAGTACTGTACTGTAAATGGTAGTCAGTGACTGTCATGAGAATCAGTTAATTTAGTATTTTGTCCTTGATAGAATAAAAAATACTATTTGTATGTGTTTTTATACCTCTAAGCCTAATATTTAATCAACGACCTAGTAGTTAATTCCCTTGCGTCAGTTGATAAAGTAATTTAACTTCAACATCTGCTAAAGAAAACGTTGAACCTGATACATTTGATCTTACAGACAACCTTAACTCTTCCAATGGTTCTATGAGAGTAGAAAGTTTGAATGCAATTAATTGCACCGATAGCTCTGAAACTCCTTCAAATGATCCTGTGAGAGTAGAAACTTTTGATGCCACATCGGACGTATATGATCCTTTGGACCTTTGTAACAAAATTCCCAATTTATATCGCTTGCTTGATTTGTGCAAAGACACGGGATCTATCGGATATTGT